TTTTTTATTTATTGTAGAGATGAGGTCTCGCTGCCCAGGCGGGTCTCGAACCCACGGGCTCAGGCAATCTACTCACCTCAGCCTCCCAAAGGCGTGGAATTACAGGCTGAGTCACCGAGCCCAGCTGAAATAATTTTTTTTAAAAAGGCCAGAGAGTAAATATTTCAGGCTTTGCAGTCATAAGGATGTTGATCTCGACTACTCAACTCTGCCACTGGAGTATAAAAGCAGCCATAGACATTATATAAAACGACTGGTGTGGCTAGTCCAAGATACCTTTGCTTACAAAACCAGACAGAGCCCAGCTTCACTGCAGAATTTTTTTTTTTTTTGAGTTGGAATATCACTCTGTTGCCCAGACTGGAATGCAGTGGCCGCTCCCGGCCACCGCAGCCTCAACCTGCTGAGCTCCGGCAATCCTTCCACTCAGCCTTCCAAGTAGCTGGAACTACAGGCACGCGCTACCATGCCCAGCTAATTTTTGATTTATTGTAGAGATGAGGTCTCGCCAAGTTGCCCAGGCGGGTCTCGAACCCGCGGGCTCAGGCAATCCACTCACCTCAGCCTTCCCAAGGCGTGGGATTACAGGCTGAGCCAACAAGCCCGGCCACTGCAGACTTTTAAAGTTGCTGATCCTAGCCGGGCTCGGTGGCTTAGCCTGTAATACTGTGCTTTGGGAGGCCAAGGTGAGTGGACTGCTTGAGCCCGCTGGTTCGAGACCCACCTAGGCAACTTGGCGAGACCTCATCTCCACAATAAATAAAAAATTAGCCGGGCATGGTAGTGCGCGCCAGTAGTTCTAGCTACTTGGAAGGCTGAGGCGGAAGGATCACTGGAGCCCAGCAGGTCGAGGCTGTGGTGGTAGGGAGCAGTCACTGCACTCCAGTCTGGGCGACAGAGTGAGACTCCAACTCAAAAAAAAAATTATAAAAAAAAAAAAAAGTTGCTGATCTTCCAAACAACAGGTATAAATAGGCTTATTACCTCATGATGAATACTCCATTAATTGGATGAAGTTGTGGGTGGAAGGGCACCTTTAATTATTCTTTCCTCGGATATTATCAAGGGTGCTTGTGGCTTTACTTATTTTAGGCACAAACTGAGATAAACTTCCACATATGCAAACCAACACAGGTGGCCCTGGCTCAGCCAGTCCCTCCAGAAGAAAAAGGGTTGCATAACTGGCTGACTCATAAGGATGAACAAAGGCCAAGCTGGGCTTCCTGAAAGTCCTCTGGCAGGGATTTGAGCTTTCTGGTCTGACTCATTTTTACCCTAGCTGCAGACACAGCTTCCCAGTGACCTCCACAACCTCTCGGGGCACCCAGAGAGACCAGCACCATAAATTGAGCAAACCATCATTTTCTACCCATTAACATGAATTAAGACAGAGATAGGAATTAGCTTTTACAGAAATCTTTACACACAGAAACGCTGTCTACAAATCTCCCAGTTTTTATCTTATCTTAGAGACTAAGTCTCCCTTGGTTGCTCAGGATGGATCATACCTCACTGTACCTTTGAACTCCTGGACCTCGGCATCCCAGACGCTGGGACTACAAGTACAGGCCACCATGCCTGGTTAATTTTGCTGTTGTTGTTAGAGCTGGGATTTCATTATGTTGTCCAGACTGGTCTCAAACTCCTGGCCTCAAGCGATCCTTCTGCCTTGGACTCCCAATGTGTTGGGATTACTGGCATGAGCCACTGCATCTGGCTGCCCATGAGTTTCTGATCAAACTCTTCCAGCCTCTATTCAATTTCAGACCCATCGGGTGGGTGTGTGACGTGTATACATGTATGGTATGACGTGTACTCATGGCTGCCAGGTAGATATGTGGGGAGCCGAGGAGACTAGAGATACGAGTCAGGAATGAAACAAGGTGAGGGACCACACGTGCCTCACACAAGGCATCAGCCGAGGGTCCTGATAGCTCCATGGAAGCCAGTGAAGGCAACCAGGCTGGCTTCCGGACAGAGGGAGCTCACATGTGAACCGCGCCACAAAAGACAAGTAGAGTGACCATGAAAGAGATGCACAAAGAGTTTTTTTTATTGATTTGAAAAATGCTCATGACAAAAGAATGAAGTAGAAAAAGCCACATAGAAAATAGGTCACACAGAAGGAAGCAGGAAGGAACTTACTTCGTAAAAAGGCACAGAAAAACACTCAAGGAACCTCCCAAAATGTGAAGAGGTTTGTTCTGGCTCCTGAGGGTTGAGTGACAATCATGTTTTTCTGCTTTCTTGTGTTTTCTGTGTTTGTTTACTTAGGAAACAAGGAGCAAAATGCTTAGGTGGGATTCAAGCAGGAAGAAGTCAAAGTCACCTGGCAGGATCCACGGTCAAGTTAAAGTCATCTGAGGTTGCCAGGGATGGACAGGAGGAGAAACGTCTCCAGGACACTCAACTGGTCTCTCCTCTGCAGAGTTAATGTTTGATTACATTTTTCGTGGGATTTCCGTAACCAGAAAGTGCAGAAAAGTTGTGAGAAAAAGGTCGAAAGTGATTCAAGGAGAGGTAGAGAGACTGAAAAAAGAGGGTAGCTCAAAAGAGAACTTTCATCTGAGACCAGAAGAGAGGAAGAAGATGCAGCCATGCAGAACAAACACGCATGCAAGTTTCAGATCCCACACCTTCACACAGGAAAAAGCAGCTCCCTAACAGCCTAAGCAAATACAGACTCAAGACAGTGAAAGAGAAAGGGGCATGGAGGGGCTGTTTGGACATCCCTCAGTGAGCGGCAATCTGGCCGCTCTCAGGAAGACAGCTCCTCTCAACATGCAGCCTCAGAATGAAACTCTAGCCAACCTAGTCGCTCAGCGCCTTGAGCCACCCCCACCTGAAGGACAAGAGAATGCCCATGATCCCGCCCCACCATGACCTGTCCCTTCAACCTGGCCATCGTCCCATTCATAAGAAGGAAGCCCGGGCCAGGCTCAGTGGCTCAGCTTGTATTCGCGGCACTTTAGGGGGCCAAGGCGAGTGGATTGCCTGAACCCGTGGGTTGGAGACCAGCCTGGGCAACTTGGTGAGATCTCATCTCTACAAAAAATCAAAAATGAGCCGGGCGCGGTAGCACACGCCTGTAGTTCCAGCTCCTTGGAAGGCTGAGATGGAAGGATCGCCAGGGCCCAGCAGGTTGACACTGGGGTTGCCGTGAGCATGCCACTATACTCCAGTCTGGGCCATGGAGTGAGACTCCAACTCAAAAAAAAAAAAAAAAAGAAGGAAGCCTAGCCCACGCTCCTTCAGTGACGCCACATTGCATCTGTGTGGGTACAGTCTGTCTCATATAACTTTACTGTTTTCCATAAGAGTATCCTTGGTCACTGTCCAATGAACCTGGTGCGATGTTTCAGCTAAGTAACTTTACAAACACCAAAACTACCGAAGGTCAAGTATCCTGATTTTTCACATGGAATATATGTAAAAAACATCATGTACCCCAGAGTATAACAGTCTTTGCAGAGCCAAGAACACATGGAAAAAGTAAAGTGAGGCAGGAAGTTACAGGGAAAATATAAAGACCCCAATTCGCCACATCCTTTTCCACACCAGGGTTAACTGACTGTCCAAAGTGTTTCAGTCCATGCTGCTTGCCTGAGGCTACGAGAGATACAGACAAACTCCAGGATCAGGACACTAGGATGCAATCCTGATTTGGCTACTGCCAGCTGGGTGATCTTGGCCGAGTCACTCTTCCAACTTCTTTATTTGTAAAAAGAAGGTGGTGGCCGGGCATGATGGTTCACGCCTATAATCTTGGCACTTTGGGAGGCCAAGACAGGAAAACGGTTTGAGTCCAGAAGTTCGAGACTAGCCTGAGCAACACAGTAAGACCTTGTCTCTACAAAAAAAATACAAGATTTAGCCAGGCATGGTGGCGCATACCTGTAGTCCCAGCTACTCAGGAGGCTGAGGCAAAAGGATAGCTTGAACCCAAGAGGTTGAGGATGGGGCAAGCCAGGATCATACCACTGCACTCTACCCTGGGTGACAAAGTGAGACCGTGTCTCAAAAAAAAAAAAAAAAAGAGAGGGTGGTTGGAAGAACTGAATAGGATTTATAGGGCATTCAGCACAGAGTTTGGCACACTGCAAGCATTAGAAAATGACAATGCCTGCCTGACTCAGGGGTTCGAGACCAGCCTGAGCGACATGGCAAGACCACGTCTCCACAATAAATAGAAAAATCAGCCAGGCTTGGTGGCACATGCCTGTGGTTCCAGTTACTTGGAAGGCTGACACGGAAGGATGACCTGAACCCAGCAGGTCGAGCCTGCAGTGGCCGTGAGCATGCCACTGCACTCCAGCCTGGGCAACAGAGTGAGACGCCGACTCAAGAAAAAAAAGAAAATGGCAATGCCTTCCCAAAATGCTATTTAAGTAAAAGCACTATCTATGATGGCATTGCCTCTCCAGAAAACAGTTCTATGAGGCTCATATCTGCATTACGCCTGTCACTCACATGTTGTGGATGGATGGAAACCTTCCCTACACCCATCCATGCTGAACTCCAGGGTTACCTGCACTGTTATAATTGGCCCTCCATTCTGATAGAGGAGAGGTTTCATCTTGGGCAGAAGGACCCCCAACCACTTGTCCACGGCTGCAAGGTAATCTGGAAAACAAGACAGGTTCAGCACCATCACATGCCTGTTCGTACAAAAAGACACCCATGCAGCCTTATCACACTAGGGAAGAAACCGGGATACACTGGACTCAACAACTACCTTCTGAAATGGGGCGGCTACACACAAGGCAAGTCTGATTAAAGCTGTCCTGCAAGCCGGACGTGGTGGTGTATACCTGTAGTTCCAGCTACTTGGAAGGCTGAGGCAGAAGGATCACCTGAGCCCAGCGAGTCGAGGCTGCGGTGGCCGTGAGCGTGCCACTGCACTCCAGCCTGGGCGACAAGAGTAAGACTCTAACTCAAAAAATAAAAATAAAAAGTTGTCCTGCAAGGTAGCTGTCTCTTCAGCTGCACTCCTCAGGGAACAAGGACCAATGTGCCTAGAATCTGTCTGCTATGGTTTGAATGTCTGTCTCCTCCAAAACTCATATTGAAAACTTTTTTTGAGTTGGAGTCTCACTCTTGCCCAGGCTGGAGTGCAGTGGCACGCTCACGGCCACCGCAGCCTCGACCAGCTGGGCTCAGGCGATCCTTCCACCTCAGCCTTCCATGTAGCTAGAACTACAGGCGCACGCCACCATGTCCAGCTAATTTTTTAAATTTACTGTATAGATGAGGTCTCGCCATGTTGCTCAGGCTGGTCTCGACCCATGGGCTCAGGCAATCCTCTTGCCTCTGCCTCCCAAAATGCTGGGATTACAGAAGTGAGCCACCACACCTGGCAAAAGTTAATCCCCAATATGGTAGTATTGAGAGGTGGGGCCTTTAAGAGGTGATGGGGTCATGAGGGCTCTGCTCTCATGAGCGAATTAACCCATTCATGAATTAATAGATGGATGGGTTAATGAGTTATGATGGGAATGGAGCTGATGGCTTTAGAAGAGAGATCTGAGCTAGTACGCTCAGCCCTGGCCACGTAATGCCCTGTGCTGCTTTGGGAGTCTGCAGGGAGTCCCCACCAGCAAGAAGGCTCCCACCAGGTGTGGCTCCTCAACCCTGAACTTATCAGCCTCCGTAACTGTCAGAAATACATTCCTTTCCATTATAAACTCCCTAGTTTCAAGTATCCTATTACAGGCCACAGAAAATGGACTAAGACACTGTTCTTGCCATAGGGCACAAAGCCTGGATGGAGAGCAGAAGGTATCCGAGTAATGTTTGCTAAATGAAGAAAGAGCCACTGAATGGTGGGATTATACTAAGTCACAGTATTGAGGCAGGGGCCCTTCTGAAAATGCAGAAAAAGGGAAAATAAATGACTTCCTGATTCTTTGTGCTGCCTCTTTTTCCAGCTTTCTACTTTGGCGGGCTACATGGTTAAACTTTTGGCAGACTCCAATCAGAATAGTAATCTTGTAAAGCATCAGCAAATAGGACAGGCAAAGAAATGATTACATAAAACCCATCAATGTATAACATGTAAGACTAAATGTAGCCCCAAACGATAAAAGTACCCAATCAAATATATAATACGGAAAAATGCTGTCTTGTAAGGAAGACAAAGGGATTACAATGCAAAAGGGAAGGTAAATAAGGTGATGCCCTCCGCCCCTGGGTTCAGGGCTCAGTCTTTGGATGCGATTCCACTGAGCCAGTGCCAGCATGAATAAACACTGCTTCTTGGCAGAGAAGCCTCTGGTCCCATCTCTCTGTGGAAGATTTCTGCCACAGCAGGGACTTTTTACTTTTTTAACATTAAGTTCTAAAAAATTATGTAGGCTAGGCTCGGTGGCTCAGCCTGTAATCCCAGCACTTTGGGAGACCAAGGCGAGTGGATTGCCTGAGACCGTGGGTTCGAGACCCGCCCGGGCAACTTGACAAGACCTCTACAATAAATCAAAAATTAGCTGGGCGTGGTAGTGCACGCCTGTAGTTTCAAAGACTTGGAAGGCTGAGATGGAAGGATCGCTGGAGTCCAGCAGGTTGAGGCTGCAGTGGCCGGGAGTGTGTCACTGCCCTCCAGTCTGGGCGACAGAGTGAGACACCAACTCAAAATTAATAAATTAATTAATTATGTAGTTATAGCCGGACTCCGTGGCTCAGCCTGTAATCCCGTGCCTTTGAGAAGCTGAGGTGAGTGGATTGCCTGAGCCCGCGGGTTCGAGACCCGCCTGGGCAACTTGGTGAGACCTCATCTCTACAATAAATTAAAAAATTAGCCGGGCATGGTAGCGCACGCCTGTAGTTCCAGCTACTTGGAAGGCTGAGGCGGAAGGATCGCCGGAGCCCAGCAAGTCGAGGCTGCGGTGGCCGGGAGCCGCCACTGCACTCCAGTCTGGGTGACAGAGTGAGACTCCAACTCAAAAAAAAAAAAAATTATGTAGTTATATAGTCCAATGGGAATAAAAGCACATGGTACAAAAACTTGCAATAAGAATTAAATACATGTGAAAACACTAAGAGTATATTAAGAAGGAGAGGAGAAATAAGAGGGTACTCGAGGGAAATGCATTGTATATGAATCCTAATGTTAGCTGATGCTACAATAATCTTCACCACCAACACTGCCTCTACCCTCCCACTGTCTCCAAGAGAAATTGAAGTCTTCAAAAGATAAAATATAGTGAAATGGAACCTTCTTACTAATCAGGGTTTACAACTAAAATATTCTCCAGCCAGGCATGGTGGCTTATGCCTGTAATCCCAGCACTTTGGAAGGCCAAGGCGAGAGAACTGCTGTTCGAGACCAGCCTGGGAAACTTGGCAAGACCTTGTCACTACAATAAATTTAAAAATTAGCTGGGTGTGGTAGCACGCTCCTGTAGTCCCATCTACTAGAGAGGCTGAGGTGGAAGGATCACCTGAGCCCAGCAGGTCAAGGTTGTGGTGGCTGCGAATGTGCTACTGCACTCCAGCCTAGGCAACAGAGTGAGTAAAAAAAAAAAAAAAATCTTTAGTGGCTTAAAAAGACAAGGAAAAAAAAATTCACATATCACTCTGTACAAGTAGACAAAAAAAAAAAAGAAGACCCTTCAGGTAACAAGCAATCCAATGATTCCATCCCAGAAACTACATCTATAATTTCAATTAGCTAGGTGCTACTGCTAGCTCTGAAATATAGTAAGTACGTACAAAAGAGAAACCATTGAAGTCAGTTGGTCAACCACAAACAGCGTCAATGCCAATTCAGAGGGTTACCAGATTATCAGCAAGATCTGGTCAAGGAGTTCAAGAAGCCCTTACTTCCTACAGGTTCAGCGTCTGGTTTTGTGCAGCAGACAATGATTAACACCCACACTTTCACTAAACTTTCGGAAGTATTTGTGCAGAACTACTCTGGACGTCAAAAAACCTGGTCCTTGGAAGGCTGAGGCAGAAGGATTGCCGGAGCCCAGCAGGTCGAGGCTGCAGTGGCCAGAAGCGGCCACTGCACTCCAGTCTGGGCGGCAGAGTGAGACTCCAACTCAAAAAAAAAAAAAAGAAAGAAAGAAAGAAAACCTGGCCCTTTTGATATAAATTGTCAAAGCTTTTATACATTTCCTCAAGACATATGTAACAATTATAAACTGTCAAAGCTTTTTTATACATTCCCTCAAGCCATATGTAACAACTCACCTGGGTCAGAAGAGCGGAGAATAATGGATTCTTTTTCTAGCAGCCAAGCAGGTAATCCCCCCTAGGACAAGGAAAAAAGCCATTACATCCATTTCATGAAAGGAGCTCATGGGAGATAGAAATAGCTACTATTAGCAATGATGGGGAAAAAAAAGAAAAGCTTCCAGGAGAATGGGGATTTGTGCTGGCTTTCTGGTTTGCAACTTTCAGGAAAAATAGAATGTAGAAAAAAATTCTTTTAAATTTTATTTTATTTTAAAGATGTGTGTGCACAATTCAGGATTAGGTATACAAGTGGACATCGTACAGGTAAAGTCTGGGCCTCCCTTTGGTCCCCACTTTGCCTGGTTTGCGGTCAGACACCCTTATTGATGTTGTGTCCCCACCCCCACCCTGGCAGAATCCCGCCACTGCCAATCCCTTTCTGACAGTATCACGGTAAATGTTCAAGGTTCACTTTTGAGTGAGGAATGCAGAAAAATTAAGATGACTGCACGATGCAATTATTTGAGAAACAAAGACCTTTCTATATAGATTCCTGCTTCATTTCACAACCACCTTGTGAGGCAGACAGAGCAGACACCATTAACTGCTTTTTACCGGTGAGGAGACTGAGTTATGTGAGTGACCAAGAGGAGAACCCGTGCTTTGATCTTAACATGTTCCTCACTGCCTGGGTACCTTTCTAAAGCGACAGACACCTGTGCTAGGTACAGTCCCACGTTCCATGTGATCTAGAATTAGAGTCTCATTTAAACTGCTTTAATTAGCCGGACTCGGTGGCTCAGCCTGTAATCCCATGCCTTGGGAGGCTGAGGTGAGTGGATTGTCAGAGCCCGCGGGTTTGAGACCTGCCTGGGCAACTTGGCGAGACCTCATCTCTACACTAAATCAAAAATGAGCCGGGCGTGGTAGCGCACGCCTGTAGTTCCAGCTACTTGGAAGGCTGGGCGGAAGGATCGCTGAGCCCAGCAGGTTGAGGCTGTGGTGGCCAGGAGTGGTCACTGCACTCCAATATGGGAGACAAAGTGAGACTCCAACTCAAAATAAATAAATAAATAAATAAACTGCTTTAACCCTGTGCCCCAGGGCCTCTGCCTGCCAGCCCACCCCCCTCACGCACACCCGGCAGGCAGAGCCCAGTCTAGCATACATACCATGTCCCACTCTGCACAGATGTAGGGTCCAGGCCTCAGGATGACCAGTAGTCCCAGCTCATGAGCCAGCTGAATAAAACCTTCCACATCATGGTCCTCAGAAAACTGGTACTGTCCAGGTTGGGGCTCGTGAAAGTTCCAGGGCACATACCTGTCGAAACACCCACAGCCCCTTCCTGGATACTTGGCAGGGTCAAGAAGAAGGAGGGGTGGGGAAAGGAGCCTTGTTGGGACTATTTCTAACACATGGACAAGAGGAAGAAGAGCAGGAAGGGCATTGTTAAGAAAAATTATCTAGGCCGGGTGCGGTGGCTCAAGCCCATAATCCCAGCACTTTGGGAGGCCGAGGTGAGGGGATTGCCTGAGCCCACGGCTTCGAGACCAGCCTGGGCGACTTGGCGAGACCACATCTCTACAATAAATCAAAAAATTAGCTGGGCTACTTGGAAGGCTGAGGCGGAAGGATTGCCTGAGCGCAGCAAGTTGACGCTGGGGTGGCTGTGTGCATGCGTGCCTCTGCACTCCAGGCTGGGTGACAGAGTGAGACTACAACTCAAAAAGAAAAATTATCTAGAACTTGGAAATAAGCAGCAGGATGATCACTTTTCCTGTTCACGTTATCTGGAGGACTGTCCAATGGGCCCAACCAAGGCTTCTTCCTTTCTCCAGGGAAGCTATTTTCTTTTTTTCTTTCTTTTTTTGTGAGTTGGAGTCTCACTTTGTTGCCCAGGCTGGAGCGCAGTGGCACACTCCAGGTCACCGCAGCCTTGACCTGCTGAGCTCCGGCGATCCTTCCACCTCAACCTTCCAAGTAGCTGGAACTACAGGTGCGCGCAACCACGCCTGGCTAATTTTTGACTTATTGTAGAGATGAAGTCTCGCCCAGTTGCCCAGGCGGGTCTCGAACCTGCGGGTTCAGGCAATTCACTCACCTTGGCCTCCCAAAGGGCGGGATTACAGGCTCAGCCACCGAGCCTGGCCCAGGAAACTATTTTCTTTGACTTCCTATTTACTATGGATTAGGGGAAGGACTCTGAAGGATCGCCTGGCCTAGCAGGCTGAGGCTGTGGTGGCCGTGAGCGTGCCACTGCACTCCAGCCTAGGTGACAGTGAGATTCCGAGACACACACACCCACACACACACACACACAACACACACACCCACACACACACACACAAATTAACCAGATGTGGTGGCATGCACTTGTACTCCCAGCTACTTGGGAGGTTAAGGTGGAAGGATTGCCTGAGCCTAGGCAGTCAAGGCCACAGTAGCTGTGACTGTGCCACTGCACTCTAGCCTGAGTGACAGAGTGAGACTAAGACTCCAATAATAATAATAATAATGCCAAGAGCAGTGAGACATAAGCATCAAATAACTTACAAAAGTAAGCCAATCAGACTCACAGCAGACTTCTCAGCAGAAACCTTACAAGCCAGAAGGGACCGGGGCCCTTGCTTTCAATGTCCTCAAACAGATTAACAGTCACTGGGTGTGATGGCTCATGCCTGTAATCCCAGCACTCTGGGAGGTAGAGGTGAGAGGACTGCCTGAGCCCATGGGTTCAAGACTAGCCCGGGCAACGTGGCAAGACCTCATCTCCACAATAAATAAAAAAATTAGCTGAGCATGGTGGTGTGTGCCTCTAGTTTCAGTTACTTGGAAGGCTGAGGCGGAAGGATCACCTGAGTCCAGCAGGTGACCGTGAGCATGCCACTGCACTCCAGCCTGGGTGACAGAGTGAGACTCCAACTAAAAACAACAACAACAACAACAAAACTCCTACCCTAAAGTTTTTGGGGAAGCAGATTTGAGAACTATTCCCATTCTCCTCACTCAGCTGCTTTGCAATCATTAAACTCTTTCTGTATTGCAATATACCTGTCTCAGCACCCTGGCTTTTTTTCTGTGTAGTTGGTGTAAGAACCTGGTCAGGCTGCAACACTATATACATGCAGAAATTACAAGGGGGAGCCCCCCACAAATGGAATTATCTTTTGGAGGTGGGCCCCTTGTAGGACAGGCTTTCCCTGCTAGGTAAGTGCTCTGGGAACCCATCAACATCAGTGTATCAGCTAGCATTGCTGTAAGAGGCCGCATTTGGCTTCTGTGAATTTTTTTTTTTTTTGAGATTCTTTCAACCCATCTGCCCATTTCACGATGGGTGATTTACGAGCACACCTGCTCACACCGCACTGAGTGTTCAGCAGTTTTTGAACAAAAATGGCATGGCCTCCATGCCCTGTCCTTGCTGTTCACCCGATCTTGCCCTAATAGACTTTTTTTTCTGTTTGCCCAGATGAAAAAAGTCCTCGCCGGGCTCGGTGGCTCAGCCTGTCATCCTGCGCCTTTGGGAGGCTGAGGTGAGTGGATGGCCTGAGCCCGCGGGTGCGAGACCCGCG